TCACCTTTTTTTAAGCAGAAAAATGAAAGGATAAGAAACTTCCCTGGTTTCGTGTGTATGTGCAGGAAGTGAAGAGAGAACAAAAACAATGCCAACAACCAACGAGACTTCTCTACTATCTCCTTTTCCTTTTAAACTTGCTTAATACAAAAGGAACATACATTAAAGCTAGACAACTACTTCTGAATTTTTCAACTACAACTTAAAAAAAACATTAAGATGGCAACAACCTTCATTAAAAGAAAAGAGTCAAACACTCAAACTAGAGTAGGAATGATGGAAAATTTGACAGCCCAATGGAGCACACGTGCTTGCAACTTGCTTCAATTCTTATTTTCTTATATAATAAATATTATGGATTATTATAATATTCTCCCCCTTAATCCATAATTTTTTATCTGCTTCACTCCTAGTAAGTTGCGCATTTCTTCAAACTTCTTGCTTGCCATGGATTTTGTGAGAATATCTGTCTTCTGTTCCTTGCTGCTCACATGCATGACTTTTATGTCCCCATTCTCAACACATTCACGTATGAAATGAAACCTTGTGTCTATGTGTTTGCTTCTCCCATGAAACACTGGGTTCTTTATCAAATCTATGGCTGATTTGTTGTCAACATGCAACACCACAGGACTAACTTTCTTTCCTGTTAACTCACTAAGCAACCGACGCATCCATATCCCTTGGCACGTTGCACTTGTTGCCGCCATGAATTCTGCTTCGCATGAAGAAAGAGCTACACTCCTCTGTTTTTGCGACGCCCAAGTAACCCAATTTTCATTAAGATAAAATGCCATTCCTGATGTGCTGCGTCTGTCATTTACGTCCCTTGCAAGATCACTATCAGTATACCCGGTTACAATGTCTTCTCCATTCCCCCTGGTGTACTTTAAGTCATAATCAATGGTTCCTTTGATATACCTCAGAATATGTTTCAGTGCTTGTAGATGCTTGACTGTGGGTCTCTCCATGAATCGACTTACAATCCCGACAGCATAAGAAAAGTCAGGTCGAGTGTGTGTGAGATATCTCAGACCTCCAATGATGCTTCTATACTCCATGGGATTTACCGGGTGTCCCTCTTCATCTTTCGTTAGCTCTAACTTGGGTTCCATTGGGTATTTACATGAGTTGCACTCAGCCATGCCTGCCTTCTCCAGGATATTTTTCGCATAAGCTGTTTGCTTTAGAGTAATACCATCCTTTTGTTGACCCACTTCAATACCCAGGTAGTATGACAATGAGCCAAGGTCACTCATTTCAAACTCCTGTTGCATTTGTTCTTTGAAGAGCTTCACTTCATTGCTACAATTTCCTGTAACAATCATATCATCAACATACACCCCAACCATTAAGAGCTTACCATTCCTCTTTCTTGTGTAAACTGCATACTCCTGTGGGCATCTTGTAAATCCCAATTTTTTTAGACATTTGTCCAGACGAGAGTTCCAAGCTCTAGGAGCTTGACAAAGCCCATACAAAGCTTTTGATAGCTTGTATATTTTTCTTGGTTCATTTTGATTCACAAACCCCTCCGGTTGAGTTACATAAACTTCTTCTTCCAAATCTCCGTTTAGAAATGCAGATTTTACATCAAGGTGGTGAACAATCCATCCATTTTTACCTGCAAGGGCAAGCAAAATGCGTACTGTTTCAAGTCGTGCAACTGGTGCGAAGACTTCATCAAAATCTATCCCGGGTTTCTGAACATATCCCTTTGCTACCAACCTCGCCTTGTGCTTCAAAACTTTTCCTTCTGGATCCTTTTTCAGTTTGTAAACCCACTTGAGACCAATGGGTTTTTGACCTGGTGGGAGTTCAACCAGATTCCAAGTTTTATTTTTTTCAATGGCTTCCAGTTCACTTCTCATTGCATTTACCCAATCAACATTTTCACTAGCCATGGAGTATGACAAAGGCTCCTCACTATCATGCATGAATAGAAGTTCGTCACACTCATCATAAATATCATCCAATAACCGATACAGCTTTGGGGCTCCTCCACCTGTCGAGTCTGATTCAATACTTGCAGAAGTATCTGAATTGGTCGAACTTGAGGGTGTAAGTGTAGGGGGTTGTGCACTTGTCTGTTGGGTTTGTTCTGGTGCAGGACTTTGCATCCAGATTTCATGTTCCTGGTTGCTTACATCTTCATAGTTGTCTTCTGGAGAGTAGCCTTCAATTGTAAAAGTTGCTCCTGGGGTACCTTTTAACAAAGTTGACTTTTCCCATGACCAAGCTTTATCTTCTTCAAAACATACATCCATACTGATGCATATTTTCCCTGTGTCTGGATCAAACAATCTATATGCTTTTGTTCCTGTCTCGCATCCTAGGTGTACCAAACGTTTGCTTCGATCATCAAGTTTCTTAAGATGACTTCGTGTTGCTCTTGCATGAGCAATACATCCAAACACTCTTAAGTGATCTACTTGTGGCTTTCTTCCAGTCCACATCTCATAAGGTGTTGCATCTTTTAAGGCTTTTGTGGTCACCCGAGTAAGAACATAAACAGCATGATGTACAGCCTCTCCCCATAATGTTTCTGGTACACGCATGCTCTTGAGTATACTTCTTGCCATCTCTACAACAGTGCGATTTCGTCTCTCTACCACTCCGTTTTGCTGTGGAGAATATGGTGCCGTGTAGTGTCGGTTTAGACCGGTTTCTTCACAATACGTGGTGAATTGTTTTGACAGAAATTCACCACCACGATCTGTTCGGAAGGTCTTTAACTTCTCACCTGTTTCTGTTTCAACAGATATCCGAAACTTCTTGAAAACACTAAAGGCTTCATCTTTAGTCTTCATCATATGTACCCACATTACTCGAGTAAAATCATTAACTAACAACATAAAATAGCGGTTACTAGCAGGTGTGGGTGGTGAAATAGGACCACGAAGGTCTCCGTGTACTAGCTCAAGCCTCTGTTTTGCCTTGAAGCTTGCTTGTGATGGGTATGATTTTCGTGTCTGATTTCCCACTAGACATCCCTCACACAAGCGTGTAGGGTTATCTATCTTTGGTAGTCCACAAACTAAGTTCTTGTCTGACATTTGTTTGAGGGCAGTAAAGTTAACATGACCCATTCGTGCATGCCAAAGCCAAGTTTGTTCACAAGTCTCTCCAAGCAGACATCTAGACCCAACTTCATTCAAAATGATTTTATAAAGACGATTTGGAGATTGTTTTACCTTCATGAGTAGTCTCCCTTTTACATCATGAACCCACAGAAACGATCCATGTATCAAGATCCGGTCACCATTCTCTGCTAGTTGACCCAAACTTATGATATTATTACACAAGCTTGGGATATAGTACACATCTTGCAGCTTTCGTTGCTCTCCATTCTTGCACTGGAAAATAATAGAACCTTTCCCTTCTATACGCACCTTGGACCCATCTCCAAATTTTACATAACCTTGAGTTGTTTGGTTAAGATCATAAAACTTATCTTTCTGACCGGTCATGTGGTTACTTGCTCCGTTGTCTAGATACCACACATTTGACTGAGTTGTTTCATCACTTGCTAACTTCAGTTTTGGTGTCACTTTTTCTTCATTCAGGAACACCTCCTCTACTGCTTCATTGTTGTCAAAAGAAGCCAATAATAAGGCCGGTTCAGCATGATCTTGGGTCAGATTTGCTTCATGGTTCCTTTCACGTCTTGGGTTTCTACACTCTGAGGCATAATGCCCAACTTCTTGACAGTTATAACATTGGAGTTTGCTCTTGTCGTGACTGTTAGATGGCCCACGATTTCCTTCTCGTTGTTGGTCAGCTACACCTCTTCCATGGCCTCTTCCACGACCTCTTTTCATGGCCTCTACCACGGTTGCTATAGTTGTTCCATCTGCCACGACTTCTTCCACAAACCTCGTTGATTGCTTGGACTGCTATGGTAGGATTTGTGAGAGGACTTTGAGTCCTCTTCACTTTGCTTCTTGTTTCTTTCAGACCACTCTTGGTGAGTCAATAGAAGCTTCTTTTCTTCAACTTCACTGTGCCCTCGGATTCTCTCCTCGTGAGCTTTCAACCTACCAACAACTTCTTCAACAGTCATCTTATCAAGATCCGCGAATTGCTCAATGGTTGATGCAATCTGCAAAAACTTTGATGGAACTGCCCGTAGTAGCTTCTTTACTACATAAGCTTCCTCAACTTTGTCTCCTAAGGCCCGAATATTGCTTACAATATTGTTTATCTTCATAGCAAACTCATCCACTGTCTCCATCTCCTTCATATTTAGAACTTCAAATTCTGCTTTTAACGTCTGCACCCTTGCTGTCTTTACTCTATCAGCCCCCATGTACATGATTTTTAGAGTATCCCATGCTTCCATTGCTGTTTGTTTTTCTGCCAACGACAGCAACATATCTTCTGGGATTCCTTGATAGATGGCTGCAAGTGCCATCTTATCTTTTCTAACTTCAACTACATCTTCTGGTTTACTGGGCTCTACAGCTTCCCAAACACCTTGTGCTTGCATGAACACTTTCATTTTAATGGCCCATGCAGCGTAATTGTTTCTTGACAGCATATGATAGTGCAGTGTAATCTGCCCATCCTTCTCGTTCCTTGACGAATCTCCCGTGGATGCAGATCGGGGTTGATATTTTGGCATAAACTTGGAGCGCTCTGATACCAAATGTTGGTTTACTGCCTTCTTTAATCACCTTTTTAAGCAGTAAAATGAAAGGATAAGAAACTTCCCTGGTTTCGTGTGTATGTGCAGGAAGTGAAGAGAGAACAAAAACAATGCCAACAACCAACGAGACTTCTCTACTGTCTCCTTTTCCTTTTAAACTTGCTTAATACAAAAGGAACATACATTAAAGCTAGACAACTACTTCTGACTTTTTCAACTACAACTTTAAAAAAACATTAAGATGGCAACAACCTTCATTAAAAGAAAAGAGTCAAACACTCAAACTAGAGTAGGAATGATGGAAAATTTGACAGCCCAAGAGAGCACACGTGCTTGCAACTTGCTTCAATTCTTCTTTTCTTATATAATAAATATTATGGATTATTATAATATGCAGAAAATATCACAAATTGAAAATTTAGTATGATACACAACAAGAAAAAGATTATAAAAGAAAACAATAATCTTTGTAGTAAATTACATAATGATTATCATGGAACATGCACAACGATGGGGCTTCTCACTTGATGCACTCCATCATCCCATGTCAAAGCACCAGAAACAATTGGGTTGTCTAAGTTCTCTATGGTTGCCTGCACGGACACCTTAAAAGATAGCTTTTCCCCAATATGTTCGAACCGTAAAACATTGGGCTCAACCTGTATCCTCAAACCGCTAACAAGTGGTTGAGTTATGAAAACTCTATATGTTGATGTTGCAGAGCCGACATTGGTGACAATCCTATTGAAACTTGAATCAATGACTTTCTTGCGCAGTGTGGGTATGACAAAGGAAGGGTAGTTTAGATCCTTAGTTTGTTCTATGATCTGAGAGCAGCTACTACTGTTGTCCCCAGTGAGGCTTCTAATATGTTGGCTGCTGTAGCCTTCCTGGCACAAAAGACTTATGTAATCTACCTCAACAGCATCGTATATCAGCCCAGGTTTCATAGCTTTAATTGGATTAAGATTTCCAGCTCCATATGCAAATTCAGCATCTGTGTTGATCCGGGCACTCATAGTAGAAGCTGCAATCATTTTTCATACAAGAATTTATGTCGTTAGTGTTGGATATACAAATGTAGGTAGATACGCGATATATTTAACACTATATAGTTTACCTGTTGTCATGAGAGCCGACTTAATGGCTGCAGGAGACCATGTTGGGTTAAATGTTTTGATATATGCAGCTATCCCACTCACGTGTGGGCATGCCATTGATGTCCCTGATATCATGTTGAATGTTACCGCTCTTCTGTCTCCTTCTACTTCGGTAATTGGAGCCACAGGTGGCCATGCTGCTAGAATTCGTACTCCAGGAGCTGTTAAGTCTGGCTGTATAAATCGAATAAAAAATATTATGAGTGTTGTCAGCAGCACAATATTGCAAATCATTTATGCTTTCAAACTGTGATATGAATTATTGTGAATTGTTCCATATACATAAACCTAGCCATTTTGGCTTTCAAATATACACTCATACATATTATGTGCGGGTGCGTGGGTGTGTGTGCCCATACACATATACTTAACCACAACCAATCATTTTGAGGCCCAATTATAATTCAAACTGTGATCTGAATTATCAATAAATGTTCAATATACATATATAAAAATGAGTTGGGGTATAAATTAAAAATGTGATGAAGTAGGGATAAATAATGGAGCTTTAACTTAAATTAAGAGAAGGGAGTGTAATATCAAGTGAAATCAATTAAAATGGGGCCACTCGTAGTCTTTGAAGTGGTCCTAAATCCGAAAATTGTGAACTGCCACCTTGGAATAAACTTGAAGTCACTATCGGGCATAGAATTTTGACCTCTTAAAAGCCTAAAGGACCACTTGTGAATAATCAAACCGTCGCTATAACTGTTGATACCACACTTATGACAGATGTCCCAAATACTTTGATGGGTTTCAAATAGTCACAAACACATTAATGACTTTTAAATTATTTGGAGTTCCTATAATCCGTCTTTGCTGACTTTTCAAATTTCAACCGGCAGTGGCTTTACCTATGACCCATGAGTTGTTGCCAATAAATATATTAAAGATACTTTTAGCGACAGATCACATGTCGTCACTATATATCTAGTAAGTACATGGCGTTGCGAAAGCTTTTCTAAAACGATTTAAAAAGCTTAACTATTTAAAGACAATAACTCGATGAATACTAGTATGTCCTGGTATCCAAAATATTCATGTAAATGATGTGGTAAATTGCTTTAATTAAGACAATAATTATTATAATACATTATCATACAACTCTATTAATATTTTCTACAATGAATTACAAAGTTCAATGGAAAATAACTTTAAAAAGTAAAATAGTTTTTTTTTTCACATTGAAGAGTTCAATTGACATTAAACTCCATATCCATTACACACCAACTATACAATATGGATGCTCTAAAGATAGAGATTACTTTTGTTATATTTTAGTCACTCGTTTATAACCCAAAAACAACATGAATTACCTTCAGGATGCTTGTAATTGTTGGATTTGGACCTCTTGATGAAAAAGAGGCAACATACGGGGTAGTCGCATTGCTGTCGTCTTCACTCTTCATTATTATTGCAGTTGCATTTCTGAAATGAATTTTTAAAGAGTTGATCAGTTTATGTAATTAATAAACTCTTGATGATTGAAAAATAGGTTAATTACCTTGTTGATTGCATGTAGCGGGCAATTCTTATTGCTTGCTCGGAGTTCACAACACTAACAGGCAAAGTATAAGAACGCACGAGTTCAAAATAAGGTCCAGGATATCTCATGATAGATCCGACAGCACCAGCCAACATTTCAGGTTCTCCAGTCGATATAGCATCACATAATATTATTTTTCCCTTCACTAAATTCTTGTCCAATGAGTTTGGGACGCAAAACCTGATACATATACACATTCATGAACAAATCGAAGATAAACATTTTATTGTTATAGTGAAACAACACTTCCCATGAAAATCTGTTGAGTATGAATCCACAGAAATGTTGAGTGTGAATCCACAGAAATGTTGAGTGTGAATCCACATAAAAGCTGGTCAAAAATGGCAGGAACAATGTGAAGTTGTGAAGCCACAATTGTTGAATGAAGACCCAGTTGTGTTTTTTGACTACTTCTGATTTCCATCTCTATATAAGAGATTATTCTGTATTTGTAAAACTTGTATCTAGTGTAACACAGAAAGAGTGCAGATTAGCACCAAGAAATGTAAATTCCTAGTTACCGGTGGACGTAGGTCAGAGAAGGACCGAACCACATTAAATCCCTCATGTTCATCCTTGTGTTCTTGTTTTTCGTGAGCTGTGTGTGTTTAGAGTCGTGTGTTACCCAGACCATGGTATTTGAAGTTCGATAACTTCATGAGAAAAGTTGGTTACAAGAGATGTGACAATGATCATTGTTGTTACATCAAGAAGTTTAAGGGTTCTTATATCATTCTACTACTCTATGTAGATGATATGTTGATTGCCGGTTCAGACATGTCAGAGATCAAGAAGTTGAAGAAACAGATGTCTGAAGAGTTCGAAATGAAAGACTTGGGAGCTGCAAAGCAAATACTCGGGATGAGTATATTCAGAAACAAAGATGGTTCTTTAACACTATCTCAAGAAAAGTACCTTGAGAAAGTATTAGAGAAATTCAGCCTTAAAGATGCCAAGATCAGAAGCACACCTTTGGGAAGTCACTTTAAGCTTTCTAAAGCTCAGTCACCCAGATCAGATGAAGACAAGAAAGAAATGGCTAAAGTTCCTTATGCATCCGCAATTGGTAGCCTCATGTATGCAATGGTATGCACGAGACCAGATATAGCTCATGCAGTGGGAGTTGTTAGTAGATTCATGTCCAATCCAGGAAGAGAACATTGGGAAGCAGTTAAATGGTTGTTGAGATACTTGAAAGGGACTTCAAAGACGGCATTAAATTTTAAGGGAAAAGACGTAGTTCTGAATGGTTATGCAGATGCAGATCTTGGTGGTTGTAAAGATTCATACAAAAGCACCACAGGGTATGTCTTTACAGTGGGCGGCACTGCAGTAAGTTGGATGTCCAAACTACAGAAAAGTGTTGCCCTTTCAACCACAGAAGCAGAGTATATGGCAGTTGCTGAAGCAAGCAAAGAGCTTATATGGTTGAAGAATTTTCTCAACGAACTTGGCAAAGAACAAGATGATTGTGCATTATTTTGTGACAATCAAAGTGCAATTCATCTTGCAAAGAATCCCGTCTTTCATTCGAAGACAAAGCACATACAGCTGAGATATCACTTCATCAGAGAAAGAATTAATGATGGCACTCTGAAGTTGAATAAGATCAAAGGAACTGAAAATCCAGCTGATATGTTGACTAAGGTTGTCACCTTAGAAAAGTTTAAGCTTTGCATAGCTTCAACTGGCCTTCAGGATAATTGAAGAGAAGGCCAGGGTAACTAGGAAGGAGTTAAGATCAAATACAGATGCACAGTTGAAGCACAGGTGAAGATTGTTCCGTGGCTTCAAGTGGGAGATTGTTGAGTATGAATCCACAGAAATGTTGAGTGTGAATCCACAGAAATGTTGAGTGTGAATCCACAGAAAAGCTGGTCAAAAATGGCAGGAACAATGTGAAGTTGTGAAGCCACAATTGTTGAATGAAGACCCAGTTGTGTTTTTTGACTACTTCTGATTTCCATCTCTATATAAGAGATTATTCTGTATTTGTAAAACTTGTATCTAGTGTAACACAGAAAGAGTGCAGATTAGCACCAAGAAATGTAAATTCCTAGTTACCGGTGGACGTAGGTCAGAGAAGGACCGAACCACGTTAAATCCCTCATGTTCATCCTTGTGTTCTTGTTTTTCGTGAGCTGTGTGTGTTTAGAGTCGTAAGCCTTTTCTTCCATTCACATACATGTGAAATTGATAAGGCCACCATTGTTGAAATTCTGCAGCCGTAACAATTTTTCCATGTTCACATGAGAGTCCTTGTTTCCTGCCACTTCTTTTGACTAACAGAGAAGGCCAGGGTAACTAGGAAGGAGTTAAGATCAAATACAGATGCACAGTTAAAGCACAGGTGAAGATTGTTCCGTGGCTTCAAGTGGGAGATTGTTGAGTATGAATCCACATAAATGTTGAGTGTGAATCCACAGAAATGTTGAGTGTGAATCCACAGAAAAGCTGGTCAAAAATTGTGGCTTCACAACTTCACATTGTTCCTGCCATTTTTGACCAGCTTTTCTATGGATTCACACTCAACATTTCTGTGGATTCACACTCAACATTTCTGTGGATTCATACTCAACAATCTCCCACTTGAAGCCACGGAACAATCTTCACCTGTGCTTCAACTGTGCATCTGTATTTGATCTTAACTCCTTCCTAGTTACCCTGGCCTTCTCTTGGTATCAGAGCAATGTATGATGAAGAATGGAAGTTGTTGGATGGAACCGATTATGGATTTTGGAAGATGCAAATTGAAGATATGTTATATCAGAAAAGTTTGCATTTGCCTATGTTGGGCGAACAACCGGATGACATGTATGATGAAGAATGGAAGTTGTTGGATCGACAAGCCTTGGGTGTAGTTAGGCTTTCATTGGCAAAGAGTGTTGCGTATAACATTGTTAATGAAACAACTACTTATGGAGTATTTAAGGCTTTGTCCAACATGTACGAGAAGCCGTCCGCTTCCAACAAAGTGTTCCTCATCAAACAATTGGTTAACACCAAAATGAAGGAAGGCATGTCAGTTACCGCTCACATAAACGAGTTTAACTCGATTATCTCTCGTTTAGCCTCAGTTGCAATAAAGTTTGAAGATGAAGTACAAGCGCTCCTCCTTTTATCATCTTTGCCCGATAGTTGGTCAGGCACCGTCACAGCTGTTAGTAGTGCATCCGGCACTAGTAAACTCACTTTCGAGAGTATTCGTGACTTGATTGTAAATGAAGATATCAGACGGAGAAGCAATGGTGAGACTTCTAGTTCTAGTTCTAGTTCTTTATTGCATACAGAAAGTAGAGGAAGAAGAAACGAAAGAGGACGTAGTCGAGGCAGATCAAAGTCCAGAAAAAGGGGGCAGTCCAAGAACCGAAAAGATATTGAATGTTGGAATTGAAAAGAAAAGGGTCACTTTAGAAGCCAATGCCCAAAACTACCAGTTGAAAAGAATGAAGTTAACGTTGCAGTAGACCATTCAGATGATGATGTTTTGATCTGTAGTGTGGAGAGCAATGTGGATTCCTGGGTTATGGATTCGGGTGCTTCATTTCACGCTACCCACAGCCGTGAAGCACTGCATAATCTAAAAGAAGGAGATTTTGGTAAGGTAAGACTGGCGAATGATGAGGTTCTTGATGTGACGAGCATAGGTGACTTAGTTTTGAAGACTCCAGTTGGTCCATGGACTTTGAAGGATGTCCGGGTAATTCCAAGTCTGAAGAAATAGTTGATTTCTGTTGGGCAGTTGGATGAACAGGGACACGAGGTTAAGTTCAGGAATGGGCAGTGGAAGGTTGTCAAAGGAAATCTTGTGATAGCTCGTGGACATAAGAGGGGTTCATTATATATGGTCAGTTTACCGTCTGAGGGAGTAACCGTCCCAGTTCAGAAGAAAAACAAAATCCGGTTCATAGAGTCTCGTGGACAGAAGAAGGTTTGCTTTGCAGATGGCAAACCCAGAGTCACATGTCAGATTCAGGTTGAACGTGTTTGGAACGGTTCAGAAAAACCAGTCAAGGGCATTCATAGCAGTGGGAGCAAGGGATGTGCTTCAGCTAGAATACCCAGAACACAGTGGGTTAAGAGAACCAGTATTCCATCTGTAAAAGTCTCTCCAGATTATCTGCTTCACATGGAGAGTGTCGTTTGTTCTCAGGATGTTCCAGGATCGGGCAGTTCATTTCAGTGGCAGGGTAACTAGGAAGGAGTTAAGATCAAATACAGATGCACAGTTGAAGCACATGTGAAGATTTTTCCGTGGCTTCAAGTGGGAGATTGTTGAGTATGAATCCACAGAAATGTTGAGTGTGAATCCACAGAAATGTTGAGTGTGAATCCACAGAAAAGCTGGTCAAAAATGGCAGGAACAATGTGAAGTTGTGAAGCCACAATTGTTGAATGAAGACCCAGTTGTGTTTTTTGACTACTTCTGATTTCCATCTCTATATAAGAGATTATTTTGTATTTGTAAAACTTGTATCTAGTGTAACACAGAAAGAGTGCAGATTAGCACCAAGAAATGTAAATTCCTAGTTACCGGTGGACGTAGGTCAGAGAAGGACCGAACCACGTTAAATCCCTCATGTTCATCCTTGTGTTCTTGTTTTTCGTGAGCTGTGTGTGTTTAGAGTCGTGTGTTAAGTGTCTCGATCCTAACAAAATCTATTTAAGAAAAATCTTACTTTACCTCGATATTGATCCATTGAATCCAGCCGTGATATTCGGCACATCTCCAGCATAGATTAAAGGATACATTCTGTCAAGTGTAAATGGATTTATTGAAACTCCCTGAGATAAGAATGAAATCAGCATTTTTTTTCCTTAATAAATGATGTCTAAACAAGTAGGTTTAAAAAGAGAGAGATAGTGCTCACATTAACAACTCTACCATTTCCTAGTCTTACTGGGGTGATTAAATCAGGGTCTTTAGGGCTGGCACCCACCGAAAGAATCCATGGAGCGATACTACCGGTGGTCTGTGGCATAGGTCCTTCATTCATAGCAGATTGTACAGTTAGTATTCCTTTTTGCATTGCATGAAAGGAACCAATAGCGTAAACATCATTAAAAAGCTCTTCGGCAGATGTTAAGCCAGCAGAAACGGTGATTATGTCAACACCATCAGCAATGGCAGCTTCAAAAGCAGAAAGAACGTCCTCGCTTCGACAACCCTCTATCCAACACACCTTATATACTGCGATCCTGGCTCTTGGCACACCCCCTCGAGCTATTCCTGACTGGAGGCCTAGTAGATTTGCATTCCTCACTACGTTTCCTGCAGCAGTGGATGCGGTGTGGGTTCCATGACCATCAGAGTCTCTCGGTGATTTGAACTCTTTGGAGTCGTATATTCCATCTGCCTTGAAGTGTCGTGCTCCGATTATTTTGCTGTTTACATTACCAAGAAAAAGTCAGAAACTCAGAAAACCTTAAACACTGATGAAGATTAAACTGGTGAAAAGCAGAAAAGAATAAATTAACATATATTAGGAAATGAATCTATTACTTGTTGCAAGTGAAATTGGCTTCGCAAATGCCCTTCCATTTTGCAGGAGGAGGACCATATCCTAGGTCAGTGAAACTGGCTGATTCCGGCCATATTCCGGTGTCAAAAACCCCGATGATGATATCACTTTCGGTTGTTGATCTGTTGACTGTAAGTGGGAAACCTAAGAAGTCCCATGAGCTTGCGGTTGCCAGTTTATTTGATTTGCTAGGAAACACAGAAACAACCCCCTCCATCCCTATATTTATATATAAATGAATCTTTCATGATTAAAATAGATTCATATGATCTTCTCCATGTTTGATGAGACATCTACAAATGCGTACCTGACAGCTTCTTAACCTCCTCTTCCGTAAGTCTTGCTGAAAATCCATGGAAGCTTTTACTGTATCTTTGAAGCATATGTTTCTTTGCATCCCTGCCATAGTAAAGTTACATGCGAGCAACTGGGTAATTAGTATCCACCGTATACGTGTCATTTTTAATTTTGTCAAATGTCAAAAGTATAGAACCTTTAAAACGAAAACTATACACCTAGTCTCATACTCTACACAAAAGAATCCATATTTAAAACGAAATCGTGGCTACGATTTGCCATTTAACCAGTTCCTGTTATATACCCTTGACATATCTTGAGTTAGCTAGTGACGGGTTCAGTTGATCTGTATCTGTGCAAACGGCTACCAAATGTTGGTGTATATATTACACTCCAAATTTCATTTACTGTTACTAAAGATTCTTAGCATTTAAAGTCGCCTCTACCATAAGAATTGTCAAACTGTAAATTAGATATGGAATAGGATGAGGTAGGTGACCTGCCAACAACTTCTTGTAGCATGCTCAAGTGAAAGGAGGAGGTAGACGCATCATCTCGAGCGTTGTGGCCCATATACACCACGTATACCTGCATATAACCAGTTACTTCACCATTGATCATTTTAACTGGAAACATTAAACTCATTAAATAAAACATGGCCTGTATCCAGGCGATGCCTTCTAATCATAAAAGTTGAGTAAAGTTACTATGACATCTATTATTGTGTCAGAAAGGTAGAAGATTACAAGCATGTACCATTCGATTGTTGTCAGATTCAGATTGAATTGATTCAGGTAGAAGCAGCAGAAGGAAGCATATGTTGAAAATGAGAGAGTGTTGGATTGCCATTGAAGATATAAGTTGGTTTGATAAGTTCTAATTCAGTATTCATGTGTAAGAATTGAATTTATATACAAACTTGTATAGTGTTTGTTTGATAAAAATCTAGGAAAAGGTCCATGAGTTTGAATAAGTAACATGCATATATGGTCCAATAAGTCATTTTGATAAGTACATATATTTGACCTGTTTTAATTATTCTTTAAGCAAAGATTAATAAACGCGTCCACAAATCAATCTATTTAACAGCAACCAGAAAATACAATATTTCCTTATTTATAAATTAAATACAATATTGAATTTGACATGTCTAAATTATATACACAATCATCAACAACATTTGTCTCAAAACCATATGAGGTGATTACCCGATGAAACTTTTGATACCGAGAAGCCTATTTCAGAGCATAGATGAATTTACATAAGTTGTTAGGGTTGCAAGTACGTAATGTTTCTGAAATCGATATGAATCATCGATATGCTTGAAGATTGTTTGATCACTTTTAGAATATGATATTTCAATATGTCTAGGTTACACGAAATCTAGGTTATAGGGATAATCGTTCAAGGAACAATTTTATATCAACACATTGATATGAAACCATAAACTAGGGTTTTATAGTTTTTTTGAATTCTTCTAATTACTAAAGATAAGATCAAATCATCACACTAGAAACAAAATGATATTTAGTTGCACATAAAAAATGTCACTTATAACCAAAAAGGTGCCACTAAACGCAGCCTAGGCAATTAGCGGCACAAAAAAAATGTCACTAAAAGTGCTACCACTAAAGGTATTTAGTGACATTTTTCGGTTGTGTCGTTGCAGTCTTATTGGGTTTTAGTGGCACTTCCACTATATCACTACAACATTTGTAGAGTTTAGTGGCTCTATTTTTATGTCACTGTTTAATTGCTAAAATAAATATTATTTTCATGTTTTTAGTGACATTTTTTTTAACACAAACAAAGTATATTAATAAATATGGCATAATTTTTTTTTTAATTAAATGGAATATAAAAATAATTATAAGATAATTAAGATAAAAAATAGAAACACAAAATCACCACTTTGATTCAAATTTGTCTAACAACAATATTCTTAATATTTAAAACACAAATGTCTACATAAAAATTTAATAAGGCTAAATTTTGTGCTAGTACTCAAAATATAATACTATCGAACTAAATACTAATTGGGGAAGAAACATGAAACTTGATTGATCTCGAGCTAAATATTAGCATGCAACTTCAAGAGCTTCCCATTCTGTGTTGATGCTTAATTTATAAGGATATTCAAGTGTTTGCCCATTGTTTACCCGCCTTTCCTTTCCTCTGAAACCTAAAATAGGAAAAGGAAACAAAAATCTTAACTAAAGAAAAACGATTTGTGAAGTTGTTAGTGTCTAATTGGGTAAAGTTAAAATGGTTTAGGGGTTGTTTGTTTTTTTTGTGAAGATCTGCACAACCACTTTTGTCTGCGCCGCGCAGACAACTCGCAGACATATGCTCTCGCAGAGTGTTTGTTTTTTGGAAGTGCGCAGATCAAAAAACGTCTGCGCAAGGTCTTTTTGGCGCAGACATTGACCACTGTCTTCAAAGGTCTTCAGACCTCATTTTAACCTAAACAAAAAAATGGGCCACCGTGCAGTTTTTTTTTCTTTTTTCGCTGAAAATGCATTTTTAATGTTTATGACATGAAATTAAGTTTGAAAAATCAATTTATTTCAATAGCTGCAGACGTTAAAAACAAACAGTATTCTTCTTGCAGACTGCAAACATTTGGTCCACATCTTCTGCCGCAGAGGCTTGCAGATGTGGTCCACAGACTGCAGACATTTTGGCTTCAAAAAAACAAACAGCACCTTATTCATTATTAGAAAAGAAGCTAACTTTATTTATAAGTTTTTGCAGAGAGACAACATTACACATTCAGTCACTTTATACATAACAATCATAAGCAAATGAATGACTATGTAGAGAAATGATGAATAAGATACTGAAATCATGATTTCAAATTTTCAATGCACTAAAATTATTGAAGAATTGTAGAATCAAGTATTAATCAAAATCAGAGATAAACGAATGCAGATTGAACAAACGATGTAAATAAGATCTGGTTTCTGCTCATTTATGCTTTCAGCTTTTACAGAGAAAATAGACAGGTTCTGTCAAGGACTCTTATCTAACTCTAGTAAAGTTCCATACTTATAGGAACAGTGAAAGCATACAAAAAATACTAAGACATTGACAATTAAGTTTCGTACGTAATACACCTCACTAAATAAACTTAACAAAACATACAAATGGTAAAACAGACTTCGACATATTACAACATAATTCGACCCTAACAATCTCCCCCTTTGTAATAATGTCGAACTTCGTCAGTTTAAGAGTATCTGTATAGCATACATCATAACCCTTCGAATCTCAAAGTACCAAGAGATTATCTTCTTCAGTTCCTTCTTATCTCCTTCGTTATTCTTCTTGCAGCTATTCATACGAACAATGAAATTCGTATATTGGGATGTTGTATATCTTTCCACTTCGGAAGCTTGAAACAAGAATCTTTTAGCCTTCCCATTTTTATCTTTCCCAGTAAATACCATACCAAATGGCTTCAAGCATATTTCTCCATCTGCATACTTCTTCAACTCAGGTTGAGTTAAAGGAAGTTCCATTGGCACTTTTACAGTCAATCCCTTTGCTGTAGCTAACTCAACATCAGTAAGTGCTAAAAACTCATAATAATTGTCAATAAAAATATTGATGTGAGCCAACCCAAGTCGAAAAACTTCAGGATCAGTTTCTCGAAGATATGAAACATCTTTATCCTTTAGTAACAATGCAACTTGTATCAGATCATACAAGTTCATTAAAGGAAAATCTGCCACTGAGAAATCACACACTTGCCCATTTGCCCTTGAAACAATAAAGCGAAGATTATGCATCATATTTTCGAACAACACATCTCGCTTTATGCTTATCACCTTCTTTATCTTCACCAGTGACCAAATCTCCTCTGGAAGCTTTCCAAGTACAACATGAAATCTGATCTTCATGTAAGTATACTCATCATCATTGTCAAATTTCTCAGCTATTTTGTACTGAGCCATAATGAACATCATCTTATTGATGGGAAAATCCAATTGACTCATATCTGTGTTAAGAACAACATAACTCTTCTTTGGCTTCTCATCGAAAGCATACATATGATTATATGCAACTTTCGACTCTATTGTTTCATAATTGTAATGCTTCGAAGGATCACCTTTGTTCATCCCTGGTGGATCATTGGCACGGAGTCGCATAATGCTTTGTACAATTCAGAGCTTTTCAATCTCAGCCTCTGCTTCAGCTTTCTTTTCTTCCTTTGACTTTTCGACCATAATAGTTTTGCCTTTGTCTTTTACAGATGAATTATCAACCCTTTCCTTTGGCTTCGAACTGCTGCCACCTTCCCCAATCACAATTCCTTTGGAAATTGGTTTTGAAATTGGCTTCGTTGGTACTGGCATTGTTGTTACAACAGTCGAAATGACTGGCTCAACAGTTGACACGAATGGTTTTGTTATTGGAATCTTCGTAGAAAACACCTTTCCAACAACCTTTGCATCTGCATGCAAATATTCACCACTAGCCTTCGTACCACCAACCTCCTTTTCTCCCCCTTGCACCCCTGTGAAAACAGGTGGGGCATTCGTCGGAAGAAGGCTAGAAATATGAGAAAGAGGAGCAAGTTGTTTGTGTAAAATAGCTTCAAATTGAACGAACTTTTGAGACAAAAAGTCCGGAGTGATCAACAGAGATGAAACTGATTTAACAGTTAAATCTTTGAGCTCCTTCAGCAACTTAAGCACTTCCACAAAACTTTGATTTTCGTTTGTTGACAAGTTAGTAAGTTGAGGGCGCAAATCTTCGTACAACTTGACAGATTTGGTAACAGCATCACAAATAATGTCAACTTTCTGATTGATCGAAGCATAACCCCGTTGCACAATTGAGATTTCTTTTTGCATATCCTGTCGAAGTTCTTGGATTTGCAGATTCACATCTTCCCTCACCTTTTTGACATCTTGAACGAATAATACATGTCGTTCTTTCATCAAATGTTTGAATTCTTTCACCTCCCCTCTAAACATCGAAGTTAGAGAATTTACCCTTAATTCATCATTCTGATCATTGTGAACAATCTTCTCCAAGAGTCGAATCTCTGAATCTCGGACCATTCCAGAGACTTTACACACCACCTTTGCTTCGAAGGTTTTCAGCAGATTGTCAACTTCCATATTAGATACAGACGAATTACTCCCCAAATCTGCTTGAGATTGAAGAATAGAATTCAATTTCTGGTTGAGAATCTTGAATTGTTTCATCGTTATCAACATATGATCAGGGAAGTGATCTTCTTCATCATCAAACTATAAATCATCAAACGCACCTCCAAAACCTTCATTATCAGTATCAGTTTCAACAACAGGTGAAGGTTTAACAGGGGAATCAATTTTGGGTGAATCAGTATATTGGGATGGAAAAAGAGTTGTAAAGGGTTGATGAAGAATGTTTTCAAAAGTTGGGGAACGTGTAGTATTCGGAAGAATAAAAGGAGGTAAAGACACAAAAGTGTCGGGTTTTGAAGATACAGGAATACCTTGAGAAGTAGGCGCAACCTCTTTGTTCGACTCTCCCTCACCCATGTTGACATTTACATCCGTATCTGATACGTGTGTAAAAATGTCTGAAGTTCGAACCTCCTTAGTATGTGATTCAGTTAACGAAACTTCGGTTGGTATGACAATGGTCTTCTCAGGAGTAGATACAGATTGAGAAACAATTGGTTCTGGTGTATCAGGAACAATTTCTTCTTCAGATGACTCCTCTTGGATAACCAACTTTCTTTGTCGTTTCTTCTTCTTTGAAATATGTTTGGCCACATCTTCAGCTCTACGTTTCTTGGACAAAGGCGAAACTGGAGCTCGAACCTCTCGAAAAATGACTCCTTGATGAGA